GAGGCGCACACCCCGCGCGTCCACTGATGCACACCCTAAACCTTAAATCCAAAACCATTTTAACTTTAAATCCAAAAGCCTCCCTAAACCCTACTTCCAAAACCCCTAAACCCTAAACCCTTAAGCCCTAAACCTTAAACCCTAAATTCAAAACCCTTATATTAAACCCTAAATCCAAAACCCTAAACCTTAAATCCAAAACAACGAAACCGCAAATCCAAAACCACCAAACCTTAAACCCTAAATGCAAAACCCCTAAACCTTAAATCCTTCATCCAAACCCCCAAACCCTAAACTCTAAACCCCAAATCCAAAACCACTAAACCCTACATCCAAAACACCTAAGCCCCAAATCCAAACTCACTAAACCTTAAATCCAAAAACCCTAAAACCTTAAACTTTAAATCCGAATCCTCTACACCCTAAACCCTAAATCCAAGACCCCTAAACCCAAAATCCAAATCCCCTACGCCCTAAACCCCAAATCCAAAACCCCTACGCCCTAAACCCCAAATCCAAAACCCCTAAACTCTAAACCCCAAATCCAACACCACTAAACCCTAAATCCAAAACACTTAAAGCCTAAACCCCCAAATTCAAAACCGCTAAACCTTAAATCCCAAACCCCTAAACACTAAACCCTGAATCCAAAACCTCCAAACCCCAAACCTTAAATCCAAAGCTCCTAGAGCCTAAACCCCAAATCCAAACCCCCGCTTGAAGACGTTTTGATTCCGTTGTGATCAGCCGTGCGATCTGTCGCTGGCCCTTGAGGTAAACTACGGATGCAAGAACAACCCACATCAAATGGGTTCTGACCCAGGCAACTTCGTCCTGAGGCATGGCCCCATGCACTGATTGCCGAGGTCTCAAGCCCTCAAGAATCCTAAGCAGCAACCTTAGCAGATGGTGTGTGACAGACAGAGTGATATGCTCGGCCATCAGTGCCCCGCTTGCGAGGCGACTCCTTCTTCGGCGATGGGCCTGCTGCCGGCCAGGGTTTGGGTTTTTGAGAGAGAGAGAGAGAGAGAGTGAGACAGACAGACAGACAGACAAAGGGAGAGAGAGAGAGAGACGTCGGGCGTTCTTCATTATTCATTTTTGATGGGTGTTTCGTTGATGAGTTACACATGCAAGTACCTTTGCATGTTGATTCTTTTTGAGAATCGTTCGCTGTAGGAGACCTGAAAAACATGAGCACTGCAAGGGTTTAGCTTTGACCAGCTACTCATGTTATGGTACCTGCAATCCTCGTGTGCCCTCTTTCTCTTGTGTGCAGGAAGCTTGGACCTTCCTGGCCCCTCCGCATATAGCGGCTGGCGCAGCTACTGAACGAGGCCAGGAGAGGGATCCACAAGATTCGCGGTTATGAAAACCTACGTCTCGAATTTTCCATGGTTCCGCAGCAATGCCCAAGTTATCCGCCGACGTGGCGATGGGAGCTGCTTATACCGCTCCCTGTGCTACGGCGCGTGCTCCATGCTTGGGTTGTAAATGCTGTGCCAGGACTAGGAACTGAAGATGCCAGTCGGCTTCGCGTGACACCCAGCAAACGAACAACGATGGCGCTCATCTTAATCAGAAAATTCGGCCAGCGCTTCTTGTAAGCAAGAGCAAATTAGGTCTTGATCGGATCTAGTCACATTCTGGTAGAGACATTTCAGAGGCATTGTGCCGGTCTGAGATTCCAAGCCAGTGAGGCCGAGAGCTGGCTCAGTTCCTCGGAGACTGGCCATTTCTTGAAGTTGCCGGCGACATTTGGAGGAACGTTTCAGCCTTGAAGAATCTTGGGACGTTCGGGAATTTCAGAGTGGAGTCTCGATGGGGCCATTGGGGCCAAATCCATCTCGGCGTTTCGTGAGGAGTGGGTGCGATGGGATTCGAACTTATCTGTGGATGAGTGCCCTGATGCTTGGCAGTGGGAGTCTGCAAATGTTTTGGCTTTTCATCGCTGTAACTACTGTGATTAGCACGTGTGCTATCGTCGATTTTTTGCCACTTTGTTCTGACCGCCAGCAGCGTCGCTAGTCCATCATCATCATCACCATCATCGTTGCCATCATCGTGATTTATTTTTTTGGTTCAAGCCTTTGTCAAATGAGCGCTAGGGTCGCTATGGGAGCCAGAGGCCGTGGCGGCCCCAGGCTCAGGTGATCGCGACGTCCAAAATCAATGTCATACCATTTCCCCTCGGCGCTAACGGCGCCCTTCTCTGGAATTGCTCCTTGCTCGTAGCGCAGCTTTGCGCCTCGTGTGCCGTGCTTGCAATCCATTCCATTCATGACTAGGATGAGGGGATGGGGCCCAAATCTCTTAGAAGGCATCTGAGTCACCTGAGACCAAAATCCGCCATGCATTTCATGAAGCACGCTCCTCTAACCGCATGTGTGTGCAACTGTTCCAAAATCTTGGCTTCAACGCCACATGCTCGGCGGCTGAAGTGAAGCGGCAACTGCGTGGCCAAGACAGTGCCGCTACACGTGAACCCGCGTGCCGAAAATGACACCGATTTGTCACTGTAGCCCTCAAACCTCACATGTTTTTGCCTGGTAGAGAAGCTTCCCCGCGAAGGAAGCCATTGGTTAGTCATGCAGCAGTAAGATTGCCCCCGCTGTCCAACCCTGCTCCTCCGACAGCGTCCTACAAAAACTGAAAGCCCATGGATTGGTGTCTGTCGTATGTGCGTCAGGTGGCTGCTGAGGAAAGTCTTGCAGCCATGTATTCAGAGCACATCTGTCCCCTTCCGATGTACATGTATGTGGCGAGAAGCACAGCAGCCTTTACGCTGTTTGCAAACATTCTGGCGCTGCTTAAGCTTGATTGATATTGGCTGACGCATAGGCGCAGCATTTTGAGAACGGAGAACCATTCGATCACAGTTTCTTATTTCGGAAACCAAGCCGAGGTACGATAAAGGACTTCACTTTGTAATTTTTCGGCTTTCTTCGCGTTTCCAGGGCTTTTAATCGAGAAGCGGCCCACAGATTGCTCCATAGAGGTAGAAAGCAGGTTTTATGTCAGCTATCAAAAATGCGGGTATTCGAATTCGAAAATGCGCGCCATGTGCCGAGCTTGGCTGCTTGCAAAATGAGATACCCAGCCTACCGAGCACGAACAGGAATCGCACTGACTGTGTTGCACGATGGCGTCTATAAGGTCTTTGTGTTTGATGTATCCTCTTGGTGATAAGATTATGGCTGCCCGCTTCCCACTGTTACTACAGTGGTGCTGTAGTACAAAAGAGGCGTGTACCACTAGGATCCAGACCGCTAACCACACACAGTGCCGCACATTCGGACTTTCCGTTTTTGACATCTCTTTTTCACCAAAGCTAGTATTCCACATGCACGGAGTTTGATCGTACATCCACATCGCCACCCACATGTGCGAACAAAATTGCCGAAAGTGAAATGTTGGCTGCGGCATGGCATGGTACCCAATTCCATACACTCGCCTCATCGAACGAAATTACAACAGCACTGCCTCCTCCACCATGGCTTGCTCAAGAAGAAAAAATTACCCATGCTCGTTGCGTTGTTTGATCACGCACACATTAAACCCTAAATCCATAACCCTTAAGGCCTTAAACCCAAAACCCTACATCCAACAGCCCTAAACCCTCACCCTAAATCCAAAGCCCCTAGAGCCTAAACCCTAAATCCAAAACCCCCAAACATTAAGCCCTAAATCCAAAACCCCGAAAGCCCTAAGCCCTAAATCCAACGCCCATAAACCCTAAACCCTAAATTCAAAACCCTGATATTAAACCGCAAATCCAAAACCGTAAACCCCAAATCCAAAACCGTAGGCCTTAAATCCGAAATCCCTAAACCCTAAATCCAAAACCCCTAAACCCTAGGCCCAAGACCCTTCAGGCTGTCCCAGAATTTTGGATTGGCCAAGTGACCCGCAAAAATGTTTGCCAAGTCGGCCCGAAGCCTTTGTAATATCCCAGTATGTGCAAGAAGTAGAAAAGCCTGCAGAGGTTAACGTAAGAAAAGCTTGAATGCCCAAGCCAAAAGCCTTCAGCCCGGAATCTTGAACTCTCAGCCCTCAATCAGCATCCTGAGGCTGCGAGGTGCTTTTGCAAGTGAAGGCCAGCAGCGTGAATCCGGCGGATCGTAGTGCGGCCGGGCCGTTCCCACAGGCAGGAGGGCTGCAGAGTTTGGAGACAAGTTGTATGGCTGAAAGTTTGGGGTTTAGAGTGCTCCAGCGGCAGTAGGGGAGTGAAAAGAGCGGCGCGATTTTTTGAGGTACATTGGGCTAGTAGAGGAGCTGACTCTCATGGGTTTTCGCACCTGTCAGTTTGGAGTTATGGCTCTCCCAGATGCTTGGGGGAATCTTGAAAGCCCGCCGGACCAATACACCCCATACTTAGGGCCTAGACCTGAGTCCTGGACCCCGAACCTTCCACCCTAATTCTTAGGCCTCTGGCCTTATCGCCTATGTCAGGTGATGGGCTCCGATGTTGCGGCGGAGGTCTGCTGCTCCCTAAGGCTTTGTGTCAAAGATCCGAGATGATTTTTTGTAGCCCAGGGTGCAGAGCGCGACCGGGATTTGCGGTGCTTTTTGTCAGGACTTTGGCTATGCATGGTCTACCGGAAGAAGATCACCTTCATTGTGGGGAATTTTTAAAAAGTATTGTGGTGGGATCTGCAGCATTTCCTTCACCCTTCAGGGGTTTCCCGGTTTAGGGTTCAGGTCGTGGTCTCCACAATGGTAAAGTACTTACACAATGGTAAGGTACTTGCAACACTCGGAATGGTATGCTAGACGACTTTGGCGCTTATGGTGTCTTGTCCACAGACTGCCGTCGGTCGCCGTCCGGCAGTTTTGCGCAGCGGGAAGCATTAGATTAACAAATTCCAAGCCCGACATCTTGGAGACCCCTCCTCGTCAAGGCTTTGACTGGAAGCTCTGCACTTTGAAGCTTCCAGTCTCAGCCTAAAATTCCCCCTACAAGCTCAATTCCTCAAGCGCGCAACCCAACAACCCAAGAGGTCCTGGCGGTGCAACCTGAGTGCAAGCGCCTGGCTGTTGGGGAGTCTTGGCTATGCTAACGATGGTGTTTACAGTTTAGGGCTGAAAGTGTAGAGTTTAAGAATTTTGTTTGCAGGTTCAGGATGTTGAGTCAAGAGAGTTGGGCTCATGTTATAGAATTCAGGGTCTTTCGAGGATGACACTAGAACATAAATGGGGTCTCCATAAATTTGTTGGCACAAGCAGAATCGCTGCAAACGGAAACCCTAAGCCTCGCGTAGGGATTCTACAAAGACAGTCAAAAACATTGAGCCCTAGACTTATTGGTGACGCGGAAACGGATGACACTTGTACTCCTTATCATCCACTTCCCTATTCCCTACAAGTACCAAGCAGCGGCCCTACATCCCAAACCCTAAACCTAAGCCGGGGCACCGGGACTTGCCTTGCCAAAAGAAGGGGAATCAATTGAGAACTGGCAGTGAATGAAACCCTTCCCGAATTCTTGCGAAGGTCTTAACCATGGCCCTTGATATGAGCCCCTACCTGTTTCATGGTTCCTAGCTGTGGGCCCTTGTTCTTAGAGGGTATACACAGGTATAGAAGGACTTCAGGAGCAGAGGTGCGCGGCTTCGAGCTTAGAATGGTAGTTTCCCTAAGTAGGGGGAACCCAATATAGACCCCAAAATATTTTACTCCTTATTATACGGACCCCCAAAAAGGTACCCCGACTTTGAGGAAACTCCATATCGCTTTCTATCCCTATATACCCACTATAGAAGTATGCCCTTGAAGCCACACGTTAAGGACTGAGGTAACCCTACATTCCTTCATGAATTCATATATTATGGAGGTTACATATTGTAGGGATTACATAGATATTATATTCCCTCTTTCCCTACTAACCACTAGTAAGTTAAAGCAGGATCGCGTTTGGGCAGACATCGGCGCAAACGTCCACTTCCGGGGCGGAAAGGGCAAGGAGACCCTCGGATGATATGAGCTATAGTCTAAACTCCTTAAAGTGGGTCATATAGGGGATTATATAGGGGTATATTATAGGGGTTCTTAAGGGGGATACTAGAATTTAGACAATGTCATATGGGCAACCGTCAAAATTATTGTGTCGGGGCCTGGATCAGGCAGTGAATATGAACACAACCCGAGTAAGACGATAGGCCCTTGCAAAAGCGATACAGATGGCCATTTTATCAGGATCATATTCAAAAGCGAAATGTGGAGCATGCAAGCAAGTTTCAAGCAAGGCACCTCGAAACACCACAAAGCGATAAGTATGAGAACTACAATGTATCAGAGAATTGAATTTTTCAGGTGCGCGCATGCAATTTACGCGGCTGCTCATGTAGTCTTCGACGATCGGCGTTCGGGAGTTGGGGTTTTGCAGTTCAGGGTGACCCGCCTAGGGGTTGAAGTTAGGGCTGGGGGTTGCAATTTAGGGTTTAGCGTCTTTCTGCGCTGCAGGATTGTTTGGTAAAAGTTGGACCTAAGACTACATCTCCATCCTCTGAGGTTGCGCACCTGGTACTTGGCAGGGGTGCACATCCTAGTGGGAGCATTAGGGGAACATTAACACGCTGTTGCCCTGTTAGAATTGTTGCTGCAATGTGTATGCCCTACATCCAAAAGCAAAAACCAATCCCTAAGCCCTGAACCCTGAACCCCAACCACGAATAGTAATACCCCAAACCGGCAAGAAAAGGGAGCTAGCTGGGGATACAAATCGGTTCTAGCCCTCTCTGACTAACGCATGGTGGTCCTAGTGTTTCTGATGTCCCTTGTCATGGTACAGGACTGACGGTCCTGCATGTCTCTTCCTTCAACTTCACCCTTGAGTGGCCAGTTGGCAAAGTCTGCCGACATTTTACACTACGGCAGCTGGGTCCCTGTGGCCTGACAAACACTCATATCCCAAGGGCCCATAAAACCCGCGGCCTTCAACCTCCACTCTCAACCTGAAGCTGACATCTCTGGTGCATGCTTGGGTCAAAGCAAGGAATGGGGCGTACGCGCCCATTGTCCGAGGCTGAGGGAAGCTGTGCGGAGGCGATACATCATGTAAGGATGTCCCTCAGGTATCGACCTGTCTGGTTTCCTGCGCTTATTGGTTCGGGGGAGCATTTTGGCGGATCTCTGGCTCTCGTTGTGCTTCGCAGTTCCAGGAGGCCTTGGTCATAGGGGCATCAGGAGTACGATGATGGTAGAGCCATGACTCACTTTTCTCAACCCACTCAAGTCACCCTTCGCACTTTGTCGCAGGGAATTGGGCAAATCCTCAAACCGAGCACCATGGAGCGCCAAGCCGGGAAACTCATGACCTGAACTGTCCTACAAGCTCAGAGTTTGGTGTTCAGAGTTCAGGGTGCAGGCTGCCAAAAGGGGCCTACCGAGGTTACCCTCCTCTTTCAGGTATGTCGTCTGCGTTTAGCGGTTTAGGGCTCTAATGTTCCCAACGCATGACCCCTCCTTCGTGCTAAATTGGGGCTTTGGTGATTCACAAGCAATGGGGAAATGGGCCTTAATTCCCCATAACCATCCCCAATCCCTGAATCTTAGCCCCTTGAAGCCTAAACCGTTACACCCTAGGCCCCGAAACCCTGAACTCCAAACCCTAAACCTGAACGTACATCCTCAAAATCCTACAGTAGTGCCTTAAAGTACACCTTCGACCCGAAACCCTAATCCCTCCCCATAGTTATATCCAGCCCCCAATGTCAAACTGATTGAAGACTCCTATAGAGGGTGTGGGACACTGCCTCCATTCCATACTGTAAAAGCTTGGATATTTGCCACTGTCATTTCATGAGAACCCTTAGAAAACTACAGTGGAACATGCTCCCAAAACCTATTGGAATTCAATAGGCCCCTATACCAACATTTTGGTTAAAAACATATTTGCAAGTCCAGTTTCCATTTCATGTTCCATTGTCTTTTCGATTTGATTCTCTTCCATTGTACTCTTTAAGGCCCCAAGCCTTAAACCCTAAGCTTTAAGCCCCAAACCCTAGATACCCCCATATACCCCCATTTCACCCTACATGGCCCTCTAGAACCCTATATCCCCCTGATAACCCATCATTTAGGCCCTACTTTACACTCGTTTTACCGAGGCCGTAGCCTTGGAGTCGCAGCTGGGTCGAATGCCGAACCTGGGTTGCCATCAAGGAATTTGAGTTAAGTGATTGTACTCAAGGGCATGTAGGGTTTAGGATTGCTATGCTAAGGGAACCCTAGGATTTACAAAATACACAAATTATGGTAACTTAATTTGTTCCTTAACGGCAAGCCAGGAACTTCTCTTTCCAAGAAGCGGCGTCCTTACCCAAGGCGGGAAGCAACGGCGGACTAGGGTTGCCTTGTAGCTTGGGGGGTCGGTGGACTTAGCAAGTACATTTATAACCCATGAAGGCCATCCCATAACCCCAGTTATCCCTGTCATTAACCCGCTTACTAAGGTCCCCTGACCCCCCAAGGGAGCTTTGTAGTTTGTGCAGCATGGCTTCGAATTTCTCCAGGATAATAAAGGATCGTGCTCTCTGCCTGAGGATAGAGTCACATTTTTCCTTTTCCTTTCGCCACGGATAGAGGTTCGTTGAACAAGAAGCTGAGCTTTTGCTGTACTCCCAGCCGCTGAAATGAGGTTTTGTCTGAACAGTCTTTCCCTCTAAGATCCCCAAGAGAAGGGCAATCAAGAAGACCCGGAAGGTTCCCTCCGCATTCGAATGCTCTGATCTTGAATCCTACGTCGGATTCTCAACCCCCAACAAAGTGCATGTAACAGGCCTTCAAGTCCCCCTTGCACTCACAACACATCTATACATCTCCAAGCTCCTCATGAGAGACCCTCATTTTGCAGAGCCCGCGAACCTGAAACCATTATAGATCCGTGAAACCTTGACACGAAATCGCAAACCCAAAATCTCCGAAGAAGTACCTTGTTGTCAACCAACTTCAGGTGGCTTTGACCTCCTACAAAGCGCTGAAGTGGTACGGTGGTGCCGCGTGGAAGTCCAACACGACTCTAGATCGGGCTTACACAAGTTTCGTTTTAGGAGCTGTGTTTCTGACAGCTCCAAGCTCAGTATGAAGAATGCAGTGAACACATATTGCCATTAGCAAGTATTCCCTTCATGTTTCCCCGGTTACCCGCAGAGTTAAAAATCCCGTGCTAGCCAGCTGACAAAACGTCTCAGGACCGTCCTCATCCTTGGCGGAAGTGGAGGCTGTGGCACCACTGGAATCCAGCTTGCGAAGGCTATGCGAACAGTGTTTAGGGCGTTCGGGGTTGAGAGTTTGAGTCTAAGTGTCTGGGAAGCTCTTCCTATTTTTGACTCAGGGTTAGGCTTCGGATTTCATGCTGCTTTCTAGTGGTAGCGATGGTGGCGGCTGCTGCTGCTGCTGCTGCTGCTTCCTCTTGCCACGAGTCTCTCGTACCATTTTCAAGCGTCTGAGGGGCTAGAACAGAGCACTTCGGTTTAGTTTTCTTTGCGAGTTTTCATGAGAGAGCTGACAGTCGTGATCAAAACCACTACAGGGGGAGTACCTTTTCTTGTGCAGATTTGCCGGGCTTAGTGGTTGGGGGTTGAGGTACCGAGAGAAGCCACATTCAGAAAACAGCGGCAACATTCAGCAAACAAAAGTCAAAACCACCGCTGCGGCATTCAAACACGGGACGGCCAAATTCAAAAACGGCAGCGCCAGATTCAAAAACAGCATGCCCGCATTCAGCAAACAGCATGCCCAGATTCAAAAACGGACCGCCTCATCCCGAAAACAGACTTTTTGGATCGGTGTGCTTGCTGTCAAATTCGGGTTTGGGTTTTTTCGGGTTTAGGATTTTTAGGGTTTATGGCTTTTAGGGTTGAGGAGGTTTTTAGGGTTTAGGTTTTGAGGGTCTATGATATTTTTAGTGTTTAGGTTTTTAGGGTTAGGGTTTTTAGGGTTTAGGTTTGTACGGTCTAGGATGTTTTTGGGGTTTATGTTTTTAGGGTTTAGGCGGTTTTAGGGTTTAGAGGGTTTTTTAGGGTTTAGGGGGTTTTTAGGGTTTAGGGTGTTTTGAGGGTTTACGTTGTTTTTAGGGCTTAGGGTTTTTAGGGTTTACAGTGTTTTTAGGGTTTAGTAAATAGGGGGTTTTTAGGGTTGAAGTTTTTAGGGTCAAGGGTGTTTTGAGGTTTAGGTTTTTAGGGTCTAGTGTGTTGTTAGGGTTTACGCTGTTTTTAGGGCATAGGGTTTTTAAGGTTTCGAGTGTTTTTAGGGTTTAGTAAATAGGGGTTTTTTAGGGTTGAAGTTTTCAGGGTCAAGGGTGTTTTAGGGTTTAGGGTTTTAAGGGTTTAGGTTGTTTTTAGGGTTCAGGGTGTTTCTAGGGATTAGGTTTTTAGGGTTTAGGGTTTGGGGTTTTTAGTGTTTGGTGTGTTTTAGGTTTGGGCTGTTTCTAGGGTTTAGGTTTTTAGGGTTTAGGGTGTTTTTAGGGTTTAGGGTGTTTTTAGGGTTTAGTAAATAGGTGGTTTTTAGGGTTTAGGTTTTTAGGGTCAAGGGTGTTTTTAGGGTTTAGGGTGTTTTTGGGGCGTAGGGTTTTTAGGGGGGTTTAGGTTTTTAGGGTTTAGGGTGTTTTTAGGGTTTAGGGTGTTTTTAGGGTTTAGGGTGTTTCTAGGGCTTAGGGTTTTTAGCAGGGTTTAGGTTTTTAGGGTTTAGGGTTTCTAGGGTTTAGGATGTTTCTAGGGTTTAGGGCTTTTAGGGTTCAGTGTGTTTTTAGAGTTTAGGGTTTTTAGGGTTTAGGGGGTTTTTAGGGTTGAAGGGGTTTTCAGGGTTTAGGGTGGTTTTTAGGGTCTAGGGTTTTTAGGGTTTAGGTTTGTAGGTTTCAGGCTGTTCTTGAGGTTTTTAGGGGACCAGGGGTCTTAGGGTTTAGAAATTTTTTAGGGTTTAGTTTTTTTTTTTAGGGTTTAGGTTTTTAGGGCTTAGTTTTTTAGGGTCTAGTGTGTTGTTAGGGTTTAGGGTGTTTTTCGGGTTTAGGGGTTTTTAGGGTTTAGGGTGTTTCAGGGTTTAGGGTTTTGAGGGTTTTGAGGGTTTAGGGGTTTTGAGGGTTTAGGTGTTTTGGGGTTTAGAGTTTTTAGGGTTTAGGGTGTTTAGGGTTTGGGGTTTTCTTTGGGTGTATAGGGGGTTTGCGTACGTTTTCACGGGCGTTTTCCGAATCTGGCTGCCGGGTTTTCCGAATCTGGCTGCTGCGTTTTCCGAATGCGGGCTTCTTCTAATATTGAATTTTCCTTTTGTTCGCACGGGCAGAATCTGGAAACGAAGGAAGAAGAGCCTAGCAGGCGAGAGAGACGTGATCGTACGTTTTCAGGGGTGTTTTCCGAATCTGGCTGCGGCGTTTTCCGAATGTTGCCGAGGCGTTTTCCGAACGTGTCTGTGGCGTCGTCGAATCGCGCGGGACGTTTTGTGAATGCGGCCGTGGCGTTTTCGAATTTGTTTGCTGAATGTGACGTTGCCCACTTAAGCCTTCAAGAAAAATGATTGTGCCACAGTATCGTCAGTGCAAGTTCTTGTTTTCGTGGCCAGAACCTAAATTCAAAAGCATAACCCCCAAATGCCACCAAGGCCTGCACCTACAGACATCGAACAGTCTGAGTCTTCGTCATTAAGCCCAAAACCCCGAACCCCAAGTTCTCAATAGCAATCATCGCGTCAGGCATGGGGTGCCACCACCATCATCACCACTTCCTCCGTGGAGAATGCAGATGCCAAGATGCACGGTAGTTCTTTTGCGGCTTGAAATGCACACCGGCAAAGAGAACAAGAGGAGAACAATGCAAACCTCACGCTTGCATCCCTAGCACTAACTCGTTAAGTCTTGTTCCGCAAGCTGAATAAACCCTGATTTCCAGTGTTCAGGGTCGAGTGAGGGAATGAAACTTCGAGGGATTTACTCCCCCGCTCGCCCTGAAGCATCAGCACGGTCTAAACCCCAATCCCTAAGCCCCGAACCCCAAACCTCAAACCTTGCCATATTGGCAGCAAAGGATTATGTCCGCGCGCTTGGTGCGGATCGGTTCATTGATTACCGCTCGCAGAACTGGTGGGAGGTGCCACAAGGAAGCACATGCATTCTTGGATTATAGACTGTCGCAGGACAAGAACCGTGCTGAGGTGTTAGGTTCACGGCTCGGCATTAGGCTAGACCGGAAACTACAAAGCCCAAATCTCTAAACCCTGAACTCAAAATCCGAGCCCCTCAAGTTGGCACAATTTCGAGATTCCGAAGCTTCAGCCAATACCCTTGCAGCACCTTTCGGTAGCTGGCAGCAACGGAATTCGGAATAGGGTTCAGGATTTCTTCCCCTCTAGCACCAGCAAGTATTCTTTCGTTACGCGGATTAATCTGGGTAAGCCACGTTGGGAAGCCAAACCTTCTGCCGACAGGCTTCAGGAAGCCATCCCGAAGTACGCATTCGCAAGCTTCCTAAAACCCTCTGACAAACCTATGACCCTAAACTCTAAACCTAGACTTATACTACCTGAAGCAGTTGTAAACCTCAGGTGCTGAGCAGTGGTAGTATCGACGTGATCTACGACACTGTGGGCCAAGCAGAAACTGGAGACAGAGCTATGAAGATCTTACGTGAAGGACTTTCTTTAGGGTGCGCGTTGCTCTTGATATTCAAGAAGACCTCAGTTTACTATAATACCATACTTCACAAGTTATAGGGTCATGCAGAAATTCTAGTATCCTCTGTAGGAGATTTGACTTCAGGGGTTTTGCTTCTTGCTTTAGATGTTGTACTGTAAGTCGTCGAAGCCCTGTGCCTCGTCCAGCAGGACATCCCGATTGCCAGACAGGCTGAAAGGGGCCCCAACAAACATCAAAAGCTGCTGTAGGGGTTCCTTTAAATGAGGGGCTCCTTTTCGGGGTCATTGGTATGGGTGTTGTGCTTTGGGAGCATATAACGTTATGAATTGATTTGGCATTCCCCTTTTCATACCCCTTGTCATCATTTTGATAAATGCTATCTGGCGGCCAAGCATTAAACACCTTGAGCCCAGAATTTATGGGCAATTTAGGTGAATGAGTTGGTCTACCACTAGCACTGTTCAAGGAAGGTGGTTGCTATGGGTACTCAGCGTGCTGAATGTCTTCCTTAATCTCTAAGCCTTTAATCGTATGGCCTTCTTGCTTGTTCTTGGGATCAAATGCCTTTAGGTTGTCAGGATCTGACTAACCTGACCTGAGGGTACAGTTGTTCATCCTCGCGGAGCTACTGTTTTTGATGTTGACTTCTGGCGATAGTGTCACACATGCACTTGTCAACGTTGCAAATTTTCTGCCAACACTATGTTTTGCTGGCTGAGTGGCCTTGTCATCCTCTGCGCCTGCACCTGAAGTAATAGAGAAAGAGAAGCAGAGATACACTATCGGCACCTACATGATATGATGTTCTGAAGTCCCAAGCCTTAAGCATCAGCGAGATGATGGAGGGAGTCCTTGGGTTTTGGCTTATCTTTTTGCGGGTAGGATTCGGCAGCCTAGGGATTGTATTTGGGGGCTGCCGGCTATGAAAGACATTGGGATTGCCTTGCATCTCCAAGGTTCAGGGTTTAGCTTTCTAAGGTTTATAGACCCTAGGCATGATGGGGGGTCAACTACCTGGACTACTTGCGCGAGTGATTGTGCCGCTTCACCAACATGGCCTGATAATAAGACCATTATGTGTACGGCCACTTGTGTGCCAACTACATGAAATGTGAGTACGACCAGCTCCACACGGCTTCACAGAGTGGGACGGGGAAGAACATCATAACCGTTATAACCGCTTCTACAACTTAGTCTTCGTGGATGACAGCACGAAGTGGGGACCGCCTCGACTGAAGCGACTGAAGCAGTTCGCTGGCTTCAGTGCGTACAAGCTCCTCAAGCAGCCCACTGACTATGGCGTCCGCTTCAAACTCTGCAGGGTCTCAGACTGAAACCTTGCTTTATAGCCAGCGGACGATGTGTCTTACCAGAGTGATGCAGAGGTCAAAAGGTTGCGCACGCACCCCGTCATCCTGAGTTATGACTCCATCCATCCCCAGCCTCCAAGGTTCAAGTTGGAGCACCTGGGCACGTGCGCAAAACAGGGTCTTCAGCTGCAAGTGTCAAGAAGTAGGGTCGTTCGTGCAAGGACATTCCAAAGAAGCCTGAATGCTGAAGGCCAAGCCTCTGAACCCTCTCTTGGTTGTGAGGAGGCTACTACGTCACCATCACGGGTGCCCTGCCCAGTGTGCCAAGGACGGATGTCAAGGCATCAATGCTCCTCGACGGTGACTGGCAACTAATGTTAGGAGCATCGGGACTTGGTTTCCTGAGTTTGGGAATGGTGCTTGGGGTTGCTGTATTGATAATAGAAGTGTCAGCTCCTGGATTTCAGGATTTGTTTGCCACCCTTGTGCCTGATGCAATGTCAGGTTTGGAGTGTACTGCATTGAAGCTGAAAACCACCTAAACCCTAAAAGCCCTGAACCCTTAAAACCCTAAACCGTAAAACCCTTTAAAACCCAATTGAAAGGCCATTAAAAAGCTGTCGTTTCCGCCTCTGCGGGGTCGGCTGGGAGATTCGAAGCTCAGAATTACGCGTGCGAAAAGGGTNNTAGGGCCTGGGGGTTTGAAGGGATGAGGGCTCGGGCTGAGGCCGGCCTTTTCGCGCGCGCAATTCCATTAATTATAGACGCGGAAAAGGTTGGAGGTTTGGGGCTGCCGGTCTAGGGTTGACTGGTAAGGGTTCCGGCCTGAGGCCGGGCTTTTCGCGCGCGCAATTCCATCAATTATGGACGCGAAAAGTATCCACCCGACCCCAAACCCTAAACCCTCGACCCTAAACCCTTTAAACTCTTAACCCTGAAAACCCTAAACCCTAAAAACTCCCTAAACCCTTTAAACCCTAAACCGGAAAAACCCTAAACTCCAAAAATCCTAAACCCTAAAAACCGCCTGAACCCTAAACAGCCCTAACCGTAAAAACCCTAAACCCTCAAAACCCTAAATCCTGAAAACCCTGAACCTTAAAAACCGCCTAAACCCTGAAAACGCTAAACCCCAAAAACCCTAAACCGTAAAACCCTGAAAACTTCCCAAAAAGCCCATTAGAAACCATAGAACCACCTAAGCCCTAAAAACCCTAAACCCTAAAACCCTAAACTCTGCAAACCCTAAACCCTCAAAACCCTAAACCCTAAAAACCCTAAACCCTGAATCTTCAACCCTAAAAACCACCTCAAACCTAAAAACCTAAACCCTAAAAAACCTTAACCGTAAAACCCTTAAGAACTCCTTAGAAAACCATTAAATTCATGAAGCCACCTAAACCCTAAAAACCCTAAACGTAAAATCCCTAAACCCAAAACCCCGAAACCCTCAAAACCACCTACACCCTAAAGCCCTAGACCGTAAAAACCCTAAACCCTAAAACCGTAAACCCTAAACACCCTAAACCCCAAAACCCAAAACCCTAAAACCCTGACGCGCGTGTCTAAAAACTCTAAACCCCAAAAACCCTAAACCCTAAACTCTGAAAACCCTAACCCCTAAAAACCCTAAACCCTAAAAACCCTAAACCCTAAAAACCCTAAACCCTAAACCTCCCAAAACCCTAAACCTTAAAACCCTGAGCCCTGAAAACCCTAAACCCTAAAAAGCCTGAACGGTAAAACCCTAAACTCCCAAAACCCTAAACCCTAAATTCTCCAAACCCTAAAAACCCTGAACCCCAAAAACCCTAAAAGGGAAAAAACATGAAAAAAAATACACAGAACCACCTAAACACCAAAAACCTTAAACCCTAAAACCCCAAACTCCATAAACCCTAAAAACCCTAAACTCTAAAAATCCTAAACCCTAAACCCTAAAAATCCTAAACCCTAAAAACCGCCTAAACCCTGAAAACCCTAAATCCTAAAAACCCTAAACTGTCAAACCCTAAAAAACTCCTTTAAAACCATTAAGAGCCGTAAAGCCACCTGAACCCTAAAAACCCTAAACCTAAAAACCTTAAACCTTAAAAAACCACCTAAACTCTAGCCCAAACCCTAAAAACCCTGAACCCCAAAGGCGCTTGACCGTAAAACCTTTAAGAACTCCCTTTAGAACCATCAAAAACCATCAAGCCACCTAAAGCCTAAAAACCCTAAACCTAAAAACCCTGAACCCCAAAAACCTTGAGCCCTAGAACCTGAACCGTAAAAGCCCTAAACCTTGGAAAACCCTAAACGCTAAAACCTCAAACCATAAAAACCCTAAGCCCTAAAACCCAAAACCCTAAAACCCTGATGCGCGTGTCTAAGAATTGTTCTGTAGCTAGCCTTTCAGTGCTTGGTAGGTAGGTAGACCCGTGCACTGCATATCATGTAGGAGCTTTTGCACATCTTCATTGTGTATGCCGCAAATATCGGCTTGATGCGTACGTGTAGACCGGTCTTGAGCATTCGGCCTGTGAAAAGAAGTGCACTCGTGCGGAACCACTTGCAATTCCTAACTGGTAGCGGAGCCGTCGCCCAGCGCGGCCGGCAGCACCAGGAAAGGAGCGCAAGCCCCGAGGCATACGCGCTCCCGCGGAATTCCACGCAGACCCTCGTGTCACGGCATCTATCATGATGTCTCGGTACCCTTACCGCCGAGGAGGAGACCGTGGTGACGCCTCAGATCAATTCGAAAATCCCAACAACTTTCAGAACCTGATGCCGACTGGCACTGTAGCCGGGCTAAGGTTCCATAGTGCGCCCGGGCATGGACTTCCACAGCACCCCTTGGAGACCAAAAGTGGAAGCTATATATACAATGGCTCTCCATCGGGCTACCACGACTGGGCTTTCAGGACACGAGCCCGGATACTTCAGCGCCAGGCGAAGGCACGCAGAGAAGCGGCGAAGGTCTTCGCCGGCCCCTTCGAGGGCACCGTCGCACAAGACGGGAAGCTTACCTGCTTCGCCTAGTTCAGCTCATCCCCCGGGCAAGTCCAAGCCTCAAGTTGAGCCCATCGACGTGGAAGCTGACGAGATCGATGATGGAGTTTCGGCGTGCGAGGCCATTGAGCCCGTCGCTCCAGAAATGGATATGGCAGACGCCGTTCAAAAGGTGTTGGAAGGTCTTCGAGGCGAAGCTTTCCTGATCGCTAGGGACATCGGCCTTGAAAGACTTTGCCGGAACGACGGCTTGGAACATCTCATCGAGATGGTGAAACAGCACGCGTTTCCACTCCGCTCGCAGGAGGCCAGTGAGCTATTCCGACAAGGACAACTTCGTACTGGCCCGTTATTCCGACAGTCGGGAGAAGGTATGCTCTCATACGTTAACCGCCGCAAGAGGTGGTGGACCACTTTACAGGAGCTTGATCCTGAAGTCAGATTATCTGAAGCGATGAGGGCAAACTTGCTCGTAGAATTTTCAGGCCTTTCTAGGCCGAAGCAGCTTATGGTTAAAACAGCTGCTTCCAGCGAGACCGTCGCTGAGTACGCTCGTGTACTCGTGTACTGAAGCAGCGCCACGCGCAGGTACACGTGAGAGAAAAGTTACTCAGTGATAGGGAGTTAGGGGCATCCTTCCCAACAACACGGTCTTGGCCACAATCCCCTAACAGGCCTTGGAATCCTCCAAGAGATCCCCGTGCTAGGACTCAGCCTAGACTGCAAGGATCCTCTGCGTGCGTTGCTGAGGGTGACATGGACTACGACGACGAGGAGGAAGACTTGGCCTATGCACCTCCAGAGGCATGCGTATCGGCCTCAGCCGAGAATGAGCAAGAGGAAGAAGTTCCTGATCAGGAGACAGCTCAACAGCTGGGCTCAGCTGGATGCTCGCCACGCGTTTTTGGCAGACATAGACGCGGGTGATCTTTCTTCTGGGCACGCAGAATCTATCCAGCACTTGTGCGCTTACAAGACCTCACTGGCCAACATGCCAGCCAAGGGCAAGAAGGGTGAACGTGGCCCTAAAGGAGGGTACAAAGTTACCCGCTCCAACCTCAGCATCGCTGAGCGTAAAGCGAAGCTTGCAGAATTGAAGAAAAACAGCAGATGCCTTCGGCGGAGCGCACGGCCACTGGGCCGGAGACCCTGAGTGTAGATTTAAAGGGCGTTGGAAAGGGTCCAAAACCAGCCAACGGCGCTGGGGGTGGAAAACCACCAGCTGATCCTCCCAGGACAGCGTACTTGGCAACGTCCGGGACAGTACCTCCGTACGAAGATGACGAAGACGTCGTGTACCTCTGCGCCGCCACGGTCGCGTCAGGGACGGAGAGTGCCTTTCTGGCATTTCGACCACGACAGCGTGGGGGGGACGTCAACATGGAGGTACCGGGCAGCGAGACATTGTTCACCTTCGGACAGCACCGCGGCCTGACATACCATCGTGTAGTTCACAAGTACCCAGGGTACGCCCTGTGGGGCCGCAAGCATCCATCGAGGGACTTGGCCAATTTTTTCGATTGGGTCCAAACGTATTATTTTATCGACGAGAACTGGATCGAAGCGACGCCCATGGTCACGCCCTTACAGCCCCCTGTGCCCATGCAGGCACAGAGCGAATCGCAAGCCCCCGAATCCTCCGCTTGCGCGATGCAGGAAATGCACTGACTTCACAAGAGCCGGGTCTAACGCGTACGTTGATATAGACGCACGTGTCTAGACTGCGGCCATGTGGAGACCGAGAAGAAGGAGAGAACGGCAGATCCTGCTACATGTACACATCCTGAGGTGGATTCGTTAGGTAGTACTAAGACTACCGCTAGGCTCACATGCACGCTGTGTGGAACGATAGTGGACGAACAACCGCAGGATATCAAGCGTGATAGAGCAAGGGTCGCTGAAGCGGTGAAGCAGTCTACCTCTGTAGATTTCGACCTCATCCGAAACATTTCCAGAACATCTAAGGACATCGTTCCTGTGGAGGTCGCAGTAGCCGCACTTGACACTTTCAAGGAGTCAGTGGAAGAAGAGTATTCCTCTGCAAACACCCTAGCCGTAGGGGAAATCCATCAGCTCTTAGCTGAGTCACTGCACCAGAGCCTCGCCGCAGCGGCCGTTACTACCCCGCAACACCCCACAAGCTCCGTCAGCCGGCTCGGCGGCAACGTCCTGGAGCCGCGTCAGTGCTGCGAGGCCCGACTCGGCTGTGATCTACATGGCAGTGACAGCACCTGACCCCAGGGTTACTTATGACCCACAACCTGAATCTCAGTGTAAAGATCTGGTTCACACCGATAAGGTGGTTTTTACACTTCCCGAAGTGGATACTAGCCCAGGTGTTTGGGCGGTATTGGACGAAGGGTGCAATTCTACTGTGCACGGTAAAGACTGGATCCAGAACGCCATTCCGAAGCTTGAAGCCCTAGGCTATCAGTCTATTTTCAGTGCAGGTGCCCAGAAATCGTTCGAAGGCCTTGTAGGGGGAGCGTCCGCCTTTCTTTGGCGCCGGGAGGTTCCCAAGTTTCAAGAAAACCATGTCTTGCGAAGTAGACTGGGGGTCCTAGGCTGGCTATGGACCAGCTGTAACTTGCCTGTGCTGGCTGGTGTGGGGTATTCCCTGGATCCCATAGTTGCGGGTTCATCAGTCCAGCATTGGGTGCTGCTTGCGCACTATAAGTACCCTCCTCTGGAAAGATAACCTGCAAATTAGATATATCTACTTGATTTAGTCGCAAAAATTCCACAGGGAACGGGCTCTCTGCTGAGGCGGAGGGGGTGAGGCCCTTTGGGACCTGTGACAAGTGCCGCAACTCCCTCCGTGTCGCAATACTCTCGCAGTTTTCCCAAGTCTATTCTTTTGGTTAAGACTGGGGCGTACTGCAGAGATTTCAGCGACTCATGGAGCCAGTAATTAGGCTTCAACGGAGGCGCAAGAAATGCGCGCAGGACAGGAATTGCCCTTGGAAGCCACAGGCCTTGGCAAACGGGGGTATCAGGCCCTCATGGGGGATGTTGAGGAAAATATTATCCTCCAGAGCCAGCACTAGCGGGCCAAGCATGCGGAGAGCTGCTGGACTTGGAGACTACCAGTCAGGGCCAGTCCTTTATCGACCACCGCTTCATTCCACCCCGGTACCCAACACAGTCTGGCGAGCTGAGACGGCGGGAACCGAATATTACACTAGCCAGCTTGCTGGATTTGCGCAGGGACCCCCGTGGTTTTGGCGGTGGTTTGGTGCACAGTCGAGGCGTATAATCTGTAGTCAGAATTGGAAGCAGGGGGGCATTCGGGCTAAAGTTATGTTTCTTATAGAAACATGCCCGCATATCGACTACTGAATGAGGATAGAGGCTTCCTTATACGGGGTATGCCCGAGTTATGGCCTCGGTTGTGTAATGCTGCCATCGGTTCGGGTCGTCTTGCGGTGGATCCCATCCTAGGTCGTTCCAGTAAACATTCCTCAGCATTTGAATGCAATGAAGCCTCTCTGCAGCTTACCGGAGAGCTAGTGGAAGCACGCTGTATTTTTTCATCATGAGAGAAGCCGAACTTGCGTTTCGCAAATTCCAGCTTGTTGGGTACCAGAACCCTACCCCTCTCAATCTTAGGATCAGAAGGGGAAGCTATCAACGGTCTTGGATAGCCACGAGATAGAGGGATTAGCCCCGCTGTTGTTGAGCCAACTTGCACAAATCTCGCTAGGCGCAGTCAAAGACACTAGAAAAGGGTTTTTATGGATGCGCAAACCCAGTAAACCGGATGATCCCCATCCAGATACCTCTGTATCGCGCTACAGGTGCCGGCTTGTTGTGCATTAACCTGACCTCAGGGCTGGCTCGAGCAAAGATCAACCTTCCCAAGGCAGTCACCGATTTCAGCTTGTGTAATGATGACACTAGCGAGGAATCTTCCGCGACTACCAGCATTAAGGTTGAGCGTAGCAACTCACGTAGCTCAGTATCAGGTGAGCGATGTTGTAACAGAGCCAAGGTCGAACCTGCCGAATTCCCTCGCCTCGCGATGGTAGGTGCTACAGCAATTCCGAAAGGGCCGCCGCCTTCATCTGCTCCTGCTGCACCACCGACGATCCCGAAGGTGCCTTCTAAGGTGAAGGCGGAGGCGACGCAGGGCTCAACGCAGGATCGTCTGCGGGTGTTGATCTCAACACGTGGGTATAATTATGAGCCCGTGCTGAATCGCTTCAAGCGAGATAGAGACTGGAACGACATCACCCTGAAGAAGTCTGCCGTGAACCTGATGGAGTTTCCTCACGTGGAAGCGCTACAGCTGGTCACGTGTTGATACTGGAATGACTTTATCGAGGGTCAGAGGCAGTGTGACCATCATCCCGAGACGCTGCGCCAGGCAGCAGTTACAGCGACCGTGCAGCGCTCTCTACGCGCGTCCTGTCAGTGGGTGCACGACCGTGTGCGCCGCGGACAGAAGTACATGCAGGTTACAGCGTACTGTAAGTCGAACAGGCGCCGCTCTGTCGCCTTCGGATTCCCGCTGAGAGATATACTATAGTATCAACCTAAGTGACATTGGACTCGTCCATGCAGACAGGGCTCGGGCAACCAATCACGTGGACATTACCATCGACAACCTTTATCGCAAGGTGATGGCATGCAGTGCAGATTTCCAGTATTCCCTGAGCACGTCCATCACTCAGGCGATGCAGGAGGAAGCCACCACTCGCCTCCGCGGGGCAATCATTAGCACTACTGGCACGCCATCGTCGTCCTCGCGGACCATGGATATCCCAGCTACGCCGGCGACCTCAATCCCGAAGACGCCTTCTAGGGCTCCGCCGGTCAAACAGCCAAGTGTGCCACCAACAACGGCGCCCAGGGCGGCAGCGACAACAGCTTCAACATCCTCTGATGTGCCGAGCTTCGAAACCGCTGCTCGGAGCAGGAGGCCACCATTCTCCAACTGCGGGCCGTCAATGAAGCCCTGGAGCGCTTGGTAAGGCGCGGAGGAGAAGAAGGAAAAACGTTCTCGCGCGCCGCAGCGTGACCTTGGGGTGGTTTGGCCATACTTTGTATAAGGCCATACCGCTCACGACCAAGAAATAAACCTTTCGTGGCCAAACCGACTTTTCACGGTCATGTGGGGTTTCACGGTTTTAAGGTCCCAGACCCTCAGGGCCTCATGGCCTCATTAAGGGCCTTCAGGGCCTCCCCAAACGCCTCTCCCAGGGCTTCTCCCACAAGGCCTCCCAACCCAGCCCACCCACAAGCCTGCGCATTTCGTGAACCAGCATCATGAGCATTGGGCGCCATGTACAGAGCATGTACATACTGTACAGAGATATCGTGAGCACCAGTGCAAAAAACGGGGCCGTCGTCAAAAAAAAAGTTTATCAAGGGTCAGGTTGTTGGAAGGGTGCGGCTTTGAGTACGGTTTGGCAGGGTTTGAATCTAAGTACTATGTGACAAGAATCACTGTCCAGACCCAAGCTCCCGCGAACCTGAAATCCGACAAGCTGTTAACATATACTAAATATTAGTGTATTAACCTTAAACGTCCTTATCCCTATATATATAATCTAAGCTAGGCGGAATCTAAGCCCTAACCCTAAATTGCCCTCAGCCCTTAAGCCTAGACACTGAGCCCCGTAACCCAATCCAGCCCTGGCCTGAACTTAACTGGCGCACGAAGCCCTTTTAGACAGAGAGGCTGGCTATATAAATAATACATCTATATACGATAATTCCCTCTATATATATATGTATATAAAGGGTTTCGCGCGCCGTTATGTACCCCGGATGAGTGGTGGTGCCAGCCAGACACTCAGCTTTTTGCTTCGCATTCCAAATTCCAGGAAGTCCGAAGAGAATCCTTTGCAGCAATCGCTTCTGAGCAGTTTTCTTGTCCGTGATTCGGTGGATCTTCATCATTTCTTCAGCGCATCTTCATCCGTCCAAGTTGAGAATACGTGAGGGTTGATTCTTGGAGGCCTCGACTCTTTCAAAATGTGATGCCATAGATGCAATTTGGGACGCAGTCTGTACGCCCTTTTGCGACGTTCCAGGCTTGAGTTCGCCACTTCCACATAAGATCGTGTAAAGAGGGCACCGTAGCATTCCTTGAGCTCTTGCTCCTCAACAGACAACCACCGGCCAGCTTTTGCAAGGGTGGATAAGATTTGATCCGCTGTCCACAAGGCTGTGCAAAGCTGTGCCGGGAGCTGCGCACTGTGACGCGTCGTGACCTCAACCAGCCACTTGACCACGTAGGTGTCATACCCAGAAGATCGCAGTTCTGGCATGTCAGCAGTGTTCCAATTAAGCTTGCTTCTCGAAAGTTTGTGGAGCTTAAGTGGCAGTTTTCTTTCCTTGCAGAAGCGTCGTACTTCAAGAGTAGCTGAGGCCAAGCGAGCTGCAATATTCGAGCCTTCAAAGAATCCCCGCGTCTCCAACATGTGAACCAGTGCTGAGCCAACCAGGTCTCTGCCTGTGCCAAGATGATAAATGTGGAGTAAATCTGCGTGGATAAACTTGACGTCAAAGCCTTCCAAGAGTGTGTACCCTGGCTCATAGTCCCATGGCAAAGTGTCGCCGATTGTTGCGACCCATGGGGCGTCAGTGTTGACATTGGTGTAGGCAAGTGCGAGCGATTCAGGGGACAGGCCTTTCGTTGCAGCACACTGCCAGCAAACCTGTCAGGGCATCGTAATACAGACCTCTGAATAAGGCTTTTCAAAAGAAGAAGATGTAATTGGAAAGTACTGTTCTAATTCCTGCAATATAAAGGATAAGCCTACATGCGCCTCGTAGTTAACCCTAATGTTTTTGTTGCCCGGGCACTGCGTCCTGATCAGCATACCTCTTGAAGTTGAATGTTTGCTTCAATGCCTTCCAGTCTCCTCTGAAGGCTGTGACGTATCCACGAAGTTCCATAACCTGGACTGCTTATGGTCGGGAGCTGGGGCGCTTGGGTTTACTATTATAGTTCGGTTCTCCAAGGCGGTGCACGTACAGTCATAGGTCTTAATACACAATTTGTTGCGGGTGTAGATTCTAATTTTGCAAGGTCTACATGGGGAAAAATATAATGTGCAGTTTGAGGAACCGTCTCTCCAGAATACAGATCACAGACATTCAAGCCCTCTCGAGAAAGTCTGTTGAAGCTCTCCGCGATAGCAAGGCAGGCTGCTTGCAAAGTCAAATTGACTCCCGTTATGGGATCAATGATGTACCGTTCAGCAGGGATGATGGCCATAACCATTCTGGAGGCTGCGCTATCAGTCAGGTACGGGGAAAGGTCTGAAGTCCATACCAAGTACATCCATAGAGCATTTGCACACTGAGCCTCATCACCTTAGCTAATTCTGGACAATGCGTTGGCTTTAGGATTGAGCTCCTGCTACATAGCTGCTTGAGATTCTTCGAATAACGTCCTCTACGTCAACTCAAACGTTAGCGGTAGCTATACACAATAGAAAAATTGCCAAGGTGATCAAGGGACTGTAAAGGGTAAACCCAAGGGTCGAGTTGCGCAGCCTAGAGGTCGCAACTGGATGGTTGGGATGATCTAGCAGGAATTTGTTCCAGTTCTCGGGGATCGCCGTCAAGTCTGAGACAATGCTCTTCAAGTATCCAGCATCGAGAATTGCTTTCACCTAGGACTGACAGGCCATCCGAAACCCTAGTACGTATGTAAACATTGGAATATGTGAATGGTTAACCTCGACCCCCCATCCCTGTATCTGTAAACCCCAAAACTTAAACCCGAAACCCTTACCCTTGGCTCATTCTGCCCTGTGCGGAATGACAAAGGACTGGCCTGACAGAACCCAATCACCAAAGAAGGAACCATAGCTTCAGTTGCAAACGGGCCAAAGCACATGCACCCCGACCCCCTGCGCAACATATCCTTAGTCCAAGCAACCATATCATAAGGAAGTAAGAAAGGCCACTCCTCCCAGACTACTCCGCGATCAGTTCGGGAGATCTGTAGCGGGAGCCGAATGTAAGTTATGTCAGCTGGCAACGAGTGGTGCCCACGGCGGGCACGTTCATGTAGGCCCTGTTCTTCTGGCCCCCTTACATGCTGAGGCCCGCCCAAAGAAGACTACGCTTCACAGTCAAACAGGCCAGCCGAAATCATGGGTGCAGGGAAGCTACTGGATCAAATCACTGTCGTAGCATTCTGCAGTTCCACGGGCGTGTCGAATCGAAAGGTATCCAGAACCTATGGATCTCGCAAGCCTTGGCTGATGTTGATTTTTGTACTTCATGGGTGCAACCTGCAATCCATGCATGACAGCTGCTCTGGCCATATTATAATAGTGGACCTCGTATTAATTTGCAGCTTGGGCACGATGCGTCCAAATTTTCCCGTAGGCGAACATGATCTGCGAGGGGGCATAACTAAGTGATATGATATCCCGAATTTAGCTCAGCTGATGCGCAGGGAGGAGTTCAAGAGGCCAGCACTTACCAGGTTTATACTTGCACCCTGTTAAATGAGTTTCCGTTGTACTCTCAATCCGGGACGATTTGGCTAGGGGTTTACATAATATGTTATAGCTATATTGGGATCTAACTGAATTTGTGGGGAGCACTCCATGCACAGATTTTCTGCTGATTTTTTGGATTGCCACGAAAGCGCCGCGCACGCGCAGCTCCCATCATGATCTGAGCAGTAGGCGCCATTGTGCACATACATTAATGGACGAAAACTGTCTTGCGCGAAACTGCAACATCCTGAAGTGATGGTTTCCACAGTCAAGCGCTTCCGCCAGGTTGCCAAGCCCGAAGCTTCCGAATCGAAATCCAGGGGCCGCAGGGTATTGCCTAGCTGAAGTGAGCTATTTCATAATAGGAGTATTTCTGACCCTTCCACTTAAGGCTAGGCGTCCCGATTAGAATCGATGCGCTGCCAGGTCATCATTGCTTGGAATCCTTGTTCTTCTGCAGCTGAGCCACAATAGCACGGACTTGGGCCCGAACCATTTTAGCCTCTTCCACCTTGGCGTTAAAAGGAGTGATGTAGTTTTAGCGGTGGAACATGATCGAGGACTCCATGATTTAGATTTAGGCTTGGAATATCAGGGTACACCGCATATATGTTGCTAAAGTAATTACTGTTTCAAATCGCGAGCCTGTCCTGTGAAATTGAAAGGAATTTGTGAACCAAACAATATCTTGATCAGATCGTCCTCCCTGCAACTTTGCAAGCCTACGGCAACCTGAATGAATAGGATTTTAAGTCTTACCCTCATATATTGGCTTACATTAGCGCTGACACATATGCTTTTCCCTCCAGTGGAGGCCCATTTATAAGCACGGCCATGCATAGAGGAGAGGAAGAGAAAATGGCTGAAATTGAAGATGGGTTCTCACTAATTTAGTAGACCCATCTGCAAAGTACGTTTGCGTGCAAGCCTTTCACTTCAACAGAATCATACAAAACATTTCAAACAGGCAAAGGGCCAATGTTCTTATAGGCGTACATATCCAGCCCCCAATGTGTTTCAAGCTGAATATATGCTTGCGCGGCGCAATCTGGGCGCACTGGTCTTGGAAAGCCTGCAGGTCCTCCTCCTCAATGCCATTCAGCCTTATAATTAGAGGACGTATCAAAACTGTAGATGTAGGCAACTTTTCCTGGGCAGGTGTGCGCAACATTGCTTTGGTTGGTTTTGCTGCTGAGGGTTGTACGTTTCGAGGGCGTCAGTAAGGGCTTCCTTCTTTCCCTCCAAGATGGATCTGATTTCTTGGGCCTTGGGGAGCTCATAGCAAATCGCCGCAGCACTGAGCTCCTTCTTCAGCTCCTTGCCTCAGCTCGATTCCTGGCAAGCAGACATGAGAGAATCGCAGGATGCACATTTGCCAAGATATTTTCAGACTAGGACACGAATGTCGTCCACCAGCTCGGGACCGGTTTTCGGCAGGGCAACTTGCGGTTTCTTCTTCGGAGTTGCTTTGGCTTGGCCAGCAGCGCGCCCTTAGATCTAAAAGACTGAAATCATTTTGCAAAACACCTCGCGCACGCACAGACCACAATTCGCAGAACGGCCAATTCGATCTAATATGTGATAGGAGACCGCCGCCTGCAGCTGCAGATCCCTCTTTCAAGTCTTTCAGGACTGCCAGGCCGTCCACAGAGGCCAAAGATGTACCCGAATCCCCCCGGCGCATAGTCCCACTCATGATGGACGCCGCAATAGACGGAGTGGTGTTCACACTGACCGTGGTTTTCCCGGTGTGTTCTTCCTTCTCCTGGTCAGTCGAGACTCCTCCCGTGGATACCCAATACCTCGTGGAGGAGGCATCGTTGGGTACGTCTGGGTCGGGCACACCCCCTCGACGCACTACGGCTTCGATTTTCGCCCTTGGTGGGAAGAGAGTATAGTGAAAACATATCTAGGTCCACAGGAGGACAAATGCCGACATCAACTGAAGCCCCCACGTAGACATCCCACGCGTGACCATCTCGCTGATGGTCAAGAACTCCTTCTTGTCTTGGAGGCCCTGCTCTTCGAGATCACAAGCGATGTCTCTGTTGCCGAAAGATTCTGGTCATTCGAAAGCCACTTTCGAAAAAGCTACATTATGAGGTGTTCGAAAGTATGAAACTCAGACCATGGACATGTGCTGTCAATAAAGACGAGGTTCGGCTTTGCTGGCTGACCACATCTGAGCCATTTCTGGGAATTTGCTGGGGCGAGATAGCGCCATGCGCTCCTTGCGGTGGGTAGAGGAGCAGGGAGCTCTGTCATCTACCTTATCACCGCCGAGCTTGCTGTCACGGGCGCATTCCGAGGGATTGTCTGCCGCATCCTTCATCTCGAGATCCCACATCATGATCAGCCTCCTCACATGGCTCCCCATCCAGATCCTCAGTGTCCAGCCTCGAGCTGAAGCTGGCCTGGGATCCAGGTAATTCACTTTTCGAGCCAGCCTTGGATGAGCAGGAGAGCCCTGCCTCCAAGCGACTCTCCTCAACAGCTCTTTCCAGGTCAGCCTCGAACTGGTCATCCTCCACAGCACGCTTTCGAAGGAGCTTCTTCTCAGAATTTTTTTGCTCTTCAATGTATTGCTTCATCTCAATGTTGTCACGAAGAAGCTGGCGAAGAAGCTGCTTGATCTCATCATCCGTGCCGTTGTTGGCCACACTCATGGAGGGGGAGCGTGGCCTCCTGAGATGTTTTTGGGTGATGACTAT